TAGGTTTCAAATTTTTGGAATACAACGTGTCCCAAAATTCAAGGATAAGCCGGCGCCGCAGGGTGGACATAGTCATGACTGCTTTAGGAAAAATAAGAAAAAAAATCTATCTCAATTATTTTTTAAGTTACACAATAAATTATGAAATTTTGCGATGATATATCAGAAATTAGAAGAAGTGAAATAATTAATTTACCTGCCAAAACCAAAGCCTTTTGCAATTCTGGATAGTAAGGTTGAATGTGTCCAATTTTTTTTATATTGATATTGCAGAACTTGTATGACTTAAGTGAATTTATATGACTTTTGTTATTGTTTTCATGCATAAATTTAATATTATTGATTTTTTTAAGACAAATTATTTTTATAATTATTTTTTAAATTTTATTTTGTAAAGTTTAACTATTTTTAAGTTCTTTTCGTTGGTAAAATCAATAAATAATACTGATTGAATGCTAAAATTTTAATACCAACATTTTAGTAACGAAAAACAGTTAATTATTTGATGAATTTTACTAGATCAAAGTTACCCCATATGACAAAAATGTCAATAACTATTTATCCCGTTGGCAGATTTTGTTTTTTTTTAAATCTATTGGTATTATAATTGTGATTACTTTCTATTTACGCAATAAAATCTGGGGGTATCAAAGTTACCCCATTCTTCTTTTAGCTTTGATCACATACTTTTTATTTTTTTTCTCAAAATTGAGCTATATTTTTTCATTTTTTATTACACGAATCGAGAGTACTATAAAAACCGATTATTAGACTTTTTTTGTATTTTTTTACACCCACAAATTTCAAAGATATGGACCTTCAAAGTTCAAAACTGGCCAAAGTAACCCCATTCTACGGTATCAAAAGTAATCTTTAGATGTGTCAGCAGTTCAGGAAAACAAATTACATATCACATTGTATGACATGCCATGGATTATTAGGATCTCTATCTACCTACTTACATGAATAGCGAGCAAAATATAGTGAGAAAGCGATAGTAATGTCACAAAATGTCATGTTTTCTAAGTTAGCAGATAAATATAATACGCAGATTAAATAAGTATTGATAAAAATACCATCTGCCTAAAGGTTTTTTACACTTTACCTTGACTGATCTCGCCTTCAAGCGAATAACTCCGAATAAAGCACCTTAATTTTGACAAAAGGTTGTATGTTTCACTGATACGAATATCAATCATAAAACAAGCTAATTTAATTGAAAATGCAACTTTAACCGTTTGTAAATTTTATTGGTCATCCAAACTTCCAACGTAATGGGGAATAATGAACTAAAAAGTTCACTAATCCCCGTTGACGGGGATTGTCAACGGGGAATAGCGGAATAAGCAGTGTGCCTACCATGAGTTTACGTTAGGTGAGCTCGCTAGCGAATACGTCAAAAAATTCTATGAAGATTTTATTTCTTGAAAGCAGCCGCTAGGGGCGCTGCACAATATGTCATACATTTAAATGTCATTTTTTTACGCAGTCGCTAGCGAGCACTCCTAACGTAAACTCATGGTAGGCACACCATACTTCGTACAATCGCTATCGCGCTCGCTCCAGTATGCACACCCGCTCATTCCTGCTCCCAGCTCCAGCTGTAAGTGTACACTGTTGTCTAAACGCTGGAGCCCTGATCGATCTTTTGATGAGACTGTTGATGTACCATCAAAGCAGGGACTTGGCACCGCTTCAGCGCCCCCGCTCGTCACTAACACAGTGGAGAAGAGAGCAGTAAGCTGCCTACTGATTGTGCTCTAACTTTTACTACATTTGACAGTTTAGATAACATTTCGGACAATGCAACGCCAAACTAAAATCAATAAAGAGGTTGAATTTGAATTTAATTTATAGGTAAGAGCAGTTATACTGAAATGTTTACAGGAAATCTGAAAAATTCGGAAGTAATAGAAGGTCTTTTTAAGTGTTTACCGAGTAACTGTTGAGTTTACGAATTATATCAAGGATTTGATTGGTATATCGTCGGTTGGTCGATTATATTATTGGTAGTTGAGAGTCAAAGACAAGGTGATTAAATCCTATAAAAAAATAATGTCGTCTTTTTTAGTTTAAAGTATTTTTTAGAACCTAAATGCATACATACTTTTTTATGGGACAGAAGGCAAAAGAGCAGACGGTTGTTTCCTTAGACCTTATGGTGCGAGATTGCTATAACATTTTCAGGTTTTGAAACCGTCCGAACTATTTTCTAAAATCTTTGCGATTATAGTTAGAAATGTATTATTTAGCAGGAGCCTACTGAGTTCACGTGTACTATGCTCGTCGTACGAAAATTGAGTTTATTAGAAGTAAATTAATTCCGCCGTTGTGTTGTGATCAGACGGCTTAGCTTGGCAAGGTGGTATGAGATATTTATCTAATGGCTTTTCAGCGTTCCGCGTGTTTGATGTTGTATGGAGAAATAATACTGAGAGGAATAAGCTTTCGCTTCGAAAATAAGAAAAATATTTTTTTAGACGGTATCTTGTTTTTTATTAGGAGGTCGGATACGACTGGGGGAGTAATAATAATTATAATCAAAGTTGTTTAGAGCCTGTAGGCAGGCATAGGCAAAAAACCTCTGTGCCTGGAGTTAAGAAGCTGGAAAAAATACCAAGAATTAAGTCCCTGTAGTTCCGCCGCTTTTTCACAATTTGTTGTTAAAATTAATGTTGAAGAATGCATTAATAAATTACACTACTTTTTGCTAGTAAAAATTAACTGTGTCAAATAAAATGTTGTCTCAATTTTATTTTTAAATTAATTAATGTTCTGTTAACTCTCTATATCACAGTAACCCGAAGACGTCTTTTATGTTTCTATGCAGCGATATAAAAGTGGTGTTAACCGTCAATCTGTCCATCGGGCGCTTTGCAATCGTAATTCTATGGGATTTATTAGATTCTTTTATTCTTAGTAATAAAATCAGCCGTGGTTTGTGTCTGTGTTTCTGTGATGTCTGAATTCGAATAGTCGATGTTAATGAGATTGGGACTCAATGAAAATATTTTAAGAAAGGTATTGTATAGTTAAATGATTAGTTAACATAAGACGACAAGGAAGTTAGCCGTAAAACTCTACATAGTTTTGTAATTATAATTTTTGAAGTTACTTGTCAGATCTTGGCCTGAAAATTATTTTGCTTTGACTCTAGATGTTTTGTAGAGTTAAGTAGGTAAGCTTTGATTGAACTTAATTATCAAGTAACTTTTTCTGATAAAGATGTGTAAGAAAACAAATCTATAAGACTATTCCTGCACTAGACTTTCAGATAGAGGACGTGTGAGTTATAACTTGAAAAAATTGAACTTTCTAAGGCGGGAATCGAACCCATGACCTTTCGCTTGCCGGGCGACTGCTCTTCCAACTACTTAGTCACTGGACGAACCCGTCGAAATTTTCAAGAGGTGTGAATGAATGCCGCCATTTAACGTGACGTCAGCGGAAAAGGTGCGGTTCTGTCAACAACAATTTAAATCCTAATAAAGTCTGCGCGCGCGCCGATGAATACATCACGGTGATTTACGGTGCGTTTACTGTTAATATAAAACGTTTATAACCCCTGAATCACTGCACCTGCATCGCGTCACGTTATGCAATGCAACGGCCGATTAAAATCACAATTCTGGTAACGTTATCTTTTGGCACGTGTTTAAGAGGCCACTTAATATATTTCACTGCCCTAAGAGAGTAACATTACACACAATATTCACATGTTGAAGCATGATAGCAAAGCGCAGGTTTACAGATTAATAATAATAAGTTCCAATTCATTTCACAAAAAACTCCATATTACAAATACCAGCCTGACACAGTTCTAGACAACGAAAATTACAAAATATACTGGGATAGAACCATTATTACTGATAAAACAATCCACTACAATAGACCCGATATAACTTTACATGACAAAACTAATAAGACCGTATATTTAATTGATATAGCAGTATGCAATACGCACAACTTACAAACTACACACTCAGAAAAACTAGCTAAATACAGAGATCTTTCAATAGAAATCAGGACGCAATGGCGTGTAACCACAGTCTTAGTAGTTCCAATTGTAATCTCCACCACGGGAGTCATCCCTAGACAGCTACACACTAGCCTACGCACCTTGGACATAGCCCCAACTATTTATAAATTAATACAGAAAGCGACCATTCTGAATACATGCAGGATAGTAAGAAAATTTTTGAATATTGCTTAAACTAAAGTAATTGGGATGCATTTGGCTTCGGCCCGTGCTCCTAAAATTTGCCTCTTAGGAGAGAAAATAAATTAAGAAACAATATAATAATAATAATAATTTATTACTTGACATACGGGTTTAACATGACTCTATCTTTTTATCGTTATCTTATAAGTAGGTACCTACTGTTTTTATCTATCTACATGAATAAGCAAATAATAAATAAAAACCTTATTGCGTAATATCCTTTAACAATAAGTAAAGATAAACTACATAGCTTTTATATGGTTTAAAACTGAGCTTCCCATCGCCGTGCCACCTTTAGTTTTAAGTGATGGAAAATCAAATTTCAGTTTAGTCTTCAGGACTCATGGGAATAGGGCCTTAGAATTTTACTATACTCGTTCGAGAATGTTATAGTTGCAGGAGTGCTATCTTTAGGAACACAATGTTAAATTCGTTTAGTGTAGTGAGCTTTCAATCGTTATGTGACTTTGCAATACCTATAGGACAATTTTATAGTATTTTTGTATCCTCTTATCTCGCTAATTCGCTTTGATATTATGAGAAGTGATATCTCACAAGGAATATTAACAGGAGTGTTATGCTGTTATCTGTGTTATCAATCTCTCTTAGCCTAGGCGCAGACCATCGATTTCTCGTCGGCCGATAGTTTAGTCGGGCAGTTGGGCATGTATGGGAGTGCGCACACTACGCCGATTCGATTTGGCCGATTCTTCATACAATTTAAAATCGGGCACAACTATCGGCCCACTAAAAATCAACGGTGTGCGCCTACTCTTACCCTTATCCTTGTCGGCGTCCTTGGTGCGGCTCTGGTCGAAGAAGCCGGTGGTGAGCGCCTTCCTCTTCAGCAGGTACGCTCTTCTCTTGGGCTTTGTCGTCGCTGCTACCGCGTTCTCTGGAACAAAACCAACAGTGTTAAACTTAGGTCTATAGAGGTTAATATGTAGAATGCTCAAAGACAGTTGGACGGCCATAATATCTGTTAGAAAATTGACGAAAGATGGAGTAAACTGGTTTACGAATGGTTTCAGCAAACGTAGCAGAGGTCGGTCACCTGAAATAACCTCTAGGTGGCATGTGCATCATGTATAGGCTCTATTATCAGAATGCTACCACAGAATAATAATAAGTACTACGTACAGATGTTTTACTTCGCGAAGGTATTTAAAAAAATGTATGCTCAATGTCATTAACAATATGGTGTAATTTAGCCTGTCTCAAGAGTCAAGCACCATTTTGTTGACAAACGTCAGTGATCGGCACTGCGCCGAAGCTATAGGGCTGACTTCGGTAAAATGATGTGACGTGAGGTGCCAAACTGCGGAAAATGGCGGAGGAAATACATGATTTAGCATGAATTATCATGAATAATATTAACTACTTATTTACCTCTCAGTCTTGAGGCAACTTAAAAAAGTACATTCTGTGTTTTTATTATTATTTAGGCAGTTAAATACTGCACAGTATTTAGTACACAATTTTCTTTATTTTCTTCCATCATACACAAGAATATGCGTGCGTGAGTCAATGTTCGCTCGTATGTGAGGCCTTGTCGAATAGTATCCTGTAGGTGGGCCATCGTGCGTGTTTTGTTTTCGACGTAAACTCGCGGAGATGAACAGGACTGATGCTACGTGGTCTATAAAAATACCTCAAGACTCAATAGTTCAGTTAATAATATCAAATTAAATTTTGATTTCGTTACAAAAATAAGAGCGTACATCAAACACAAATTAAAACAACAGACAATCGAAAATGGTTGAAAAACAAAAATAAATTCTTAGTGGCCAGGCTCGGACTAAAAAGTTTGGCCATAAAAATTATGCAGCTTCAACTTTGGTAAGACTTTGGTAGGACATGGCATGGGAGTAATTTTAAAATTTCAAAAAAAGAATTCATTCATCTTCTTTTTTTTCTGAGTATTTTCATTGAAAAAGGGTTTTACCTCTTCGAATTTTACACGAAGCTTTGACACATAAGATTAACCACCTTAAAAAAACATTCCAAGTTTTTGGCAATGCTCTCAAGTAATTTTAATGGACGGCCGAAGTTATCCGCAAATAAATGTTGGAAAACAAACAGGTAACCCGAAGTGGGAAACACGACACTTGTTTTGATAGAAAAATTGCGACGCACGGTGCGTACGCGCGGCCTGGGCGGGTCTGGGCGACATATTTCGCAGTTCAATGTCTAGCTACATTTTCATGATAGTATATTTAGAACTATCACAATATTATTAACTACAAACTATATAAAGTTTCTTTTAATAATGTAACTTAATTGTTCCGTGTCTTAAAAATGGAAATAGGTCCCAGGATTCTTTACTACAGTATGGAATAAGTAGAGACAAATCAATACCAACGCGAAGTTTAGTGAGGACTGCGTTTGTTGCTCTTTCTCGCATAAACCAAGGGACGAAACTTTTATGTTAAAATGTACATAATTTATACTAAACTGCTGGAAATACCGCGTGATTCATAAAATGAAAATAGTTTGATCGGACTTAATATTATGATCCATTAAAACATGGGTGATAAATTACACCAAAAATACTTGAACTTATTTTAACTAAAGTTACATTCTAAACCTACTGAGATTATCTCTACCTACCCACCTAATCTCTACCTCAAAACAGTCAGTGCACTCCCCCGAATAGTTTCTGCATTCCGTTCTTAATGAGTTTTTATTTTCGCCTCCGATCGTGTAGGTAAACAAGGTGTGCGTTATTTACAGAACACATTACTGTCACACGGCAGATTGGCATGTGATTATGTGTCACTGAGTGTGGATGGGATTTGGAGAATTTAATTACCTACATTAGAAGGGCTTAAAAATGGTTCTAATTAGATTAGCCTGCCCATTGACAAAAACTGAAATAATACTGATTTTATACTTTTTTTTTATCCACAACGAGGAAGCTCTTGGCCTGTATCTCATCTGATGGTAAGTGATTTTATACCATTTTATACAATCTAAGTGATTTTAAACTTATTGAATACTGATTTTATACCATTAATGTATTTGACTCTACTACTGAAAACCTCTTTTCACCATCAATATCTGTGAAAATATTACCAAAAATCCGCAATAAAATGCCAAGCCAACACTTTAAAAACACACTGAAAATTTTGATTTGAAAAAGATTTACTTAATAATAATCTTAGAATTACTTTTTATCAATAACTATCCTAAAACTTGTTTCCCTTTATCCTGAGAATAATGGTAGTAGGAAGTAGACACGGTCTCTAAGAAATACCTTTACGTGCCGTAACATACGCAAGTGCATTTACGCAAAGCCTGTTTTTTTTACAATTTCTGATTTACGCGCATTACTCACGAAACTGACCCCTTTCAAGAGTCATCAGCTTGTCATGTGGACAGCGGAGCACCCACGTGCGAGGAAAATGAGCGGAACGACTGGCGCCGCCGCGGGTGCCACCACAATGGTGGAGAAGTCAGAAGGATCAGGTGGAACTTCCAACCCATTTAAGTAATCAAGTTTGAAACTCATTTTGGAGAGTGGAGTACGAGTACCTACGTGCGAGAGAAATGAGCGGAACGACTGGCGCCGCCGCGAATGCCACCACAATGGTGGAACAGTCAGAAGGACCAGGTGGAATTATCAACCAAATCTAGGTAGGTACTTATCCAGTTCGGAAGTCATGGTGGACAGCGGAGCACCCACGTGCAAGGGATTTCCCTCAGAAGGACCAGGTGGCCTTTTCTCAACTAAATCCAGTTCACACTTGATGGCAACTTGAAGTTGTAGCTAATTTCACGCTGTCGATCGTAAACTGCACCACAATGATGGACAAATCAGAAAGATCTTGGTTTTCGGTCGGAAGTGGCTGCATTGTTGCGTTTCTTCTTCGTTCAAGTTCCCAGCAACGAGTGCCTCTACTGGACATTCTTACGCTATGTTTACTAGTAAAGGTCGCGGAGATATTGGTCGCACGTCAAAACAGGTGAAAAAAAAATCATGTAAGATTTAAAATTTTAATAGGCACAATAAAAATCTTACATTTAAGTACTTCTAAAGTAACAAAACATACTGTTTTGGGAGACTGTTGTATGAAGTTTGAACGAATCTAACTAACAACAAGTTTCAACACTTATCTTAACGAAGGCTTAGTCAGTCATATTATTCTAAAAGAAACCAAAACATTACACACAAGGAACAGCGAAGACCCAATTCCGCAAAATAACCGCCAAGCCGTATAACTCCCAAATTACTGCTCGCAAAATTCCGCAGATGTTAAAGATCGTCAATGTTAACGAGCCGCTGACGCGTCAAACTGACGGTTATGACGCGCCGTTAGTGCCGTTAAATCATCAACACTCTGTTAAGAGGAACGCGAATCGACTGAACGGACAGCCGAAATAACGAGGCAAATAAACAACGATGCTGATATGATACAATGTGGAAGGGAAAATAAACGTGCAATGAACTGACTGGAATGGTACAACAACTAAGATGAGCCACATTTACCTATAGGCAATAAATACAATGGTTACATGCTTGCGCAAGAGTAGACTGCTTTCGTTGCGTTCTCTCTTGATTAATCTTCGAGAAAGTTGTTACTATACCAGTATAGTACCCGCAGTTGTTCTATTTTTAAAGGTCTATTTTGTTTTATCGTGTCGCTAGGTGTATCGGAAAACTCTTCCAATAAGTATGTTTTACCAACTTTACACTTCACTGTTTGGTTATTTTATAAAAAGGTCACTCTGGCAATCAAAACAGGAGAAACCACAGAGAGAAAAAACAGTGAAAAAACGGATAAATTATTGAGAGAAACCTCATTTATTGAATGACATTTGAAGATTCAACCGCCTCTGTGGTCTAGTGGTAAGACCACCTGCTTCAGACGCAGAGGTCCCGGGTTCGATTCCCAGTGGGGGCAGATTTTTCTGTTCGGTTTGGTTGGTGGTAGGGCTTGTTCTAAGTCCGCCTGGCTAGCTACCACCATCTTACCTAAGTCTGTCGCCATAACAACAGTGTTAACAGCATTGTTGTGTTCCGGCAGTTAGAGGTAAGATAGCCAGTTCTTCCGTGGTTGAGGATTCCGGGTGAAGCTCGCTTCCACCTTCGGCCTGATCGTCACTTACCATCAGGTGAGATACAGGCCAAGAGCTTCCTCGTTGTGTATAAAAAAAAAAAAAAAAAAAGATAAATACGAGAAGCAATTTCCCAGAGATTCATAAAGAGAATTTGTTATTATTACAAATACGACATCTTAAAACTTCATATCGAATTATTAGATAGTTAATGTTTATAAATCTTTTACAAGCGCATGAGTAAGAAAAACAGTGCTAAATGACACATGTCACGCGGCGCGTGGGCCTGTGACGGATGGAGAGAGCACGATAGCGGGCAGCGCACCAACAGGGCTGCCAACCGCTCGCTGTCGATTGCTATCTACCCTACTAATAATGTAAATGTGAAAGTTTGTACAGATTGAGACCCGGTTTCCACCAAAGCGGAGCGGAGCGGAGAAGTGTTTTGAATTAGATTTCCTGATTTCCTGAATAATGAAATCTGATTGTTTACCTATTCAAAAAACTTCTCCGGTTCGCCTCGATAGAAAACGGACCTGATAGATGGATGGATGAGTGTTTGTTTATCCTTTAAGGAAACTACTGAACGGATTTTGATATTACAATAGAATGACTTATAGACTCAATACTCAAATCTTTATTGCATTTCACAGATCTTGAATCTTGTAAGATTAAGATTTTGTATAACGATGGAGATAACGAGACAACAGCGCCGGGCAGCGCACCAAGCCAAGCAGGGCTGCCAACCGGGGGCTGTGTCGATTCTCTATACTATACCATCCTACTAATAATATTAGGCTATAGTCTCCTGTTAAACGCTATACGTAGCTCTATGTT